TTCTTAGAGCTCCAGGTTGCCTATTCGCACGGGGGCCAAAAGCGCTGGGTTGTATGATTTCAGGGCAAATCCGTCCGCGAAACTCCACGAGCTCCCACGGGTCATAACGGCCACCCGTACCTAGTAACAAATTTCGATTCCATCTGAACGCAATCGCCTGTTGAAGTGCCAGTGCGTGACATTCTTGCCCTGCTCTCTCCTTTTCTAATTGATTAGCGCGACGTGGCTTTGTGAGAGCGATAGTGTGGGTGGGCGCAATGCAGTGCATTGGCAATGGGGTGGTCGAGCAGTCGAAGCAAACCAAGGTCTCATTCCAGGAAGGGACCCGTGGTGTTGCCACAACAGAGGCTGCCTCCTCCCCTGCTCCCCACCACCCCGCCACCCCTGCTCCGTCCTCGGGGGCCGGGACGCAAACAACAATAACAGTGTGGCTATTGCACGTTGTGACACTTCCACCCCATTCTCGGGAAGGACGGAGGCGGGCCGAGGCCTGGCCGTACGGCGAGACGCGTCTCCCAATGGAGACGCAATTCAAAGCTCAGTCCCGGTGCCCCGGCCTCCGGCCGCCACCAACAGCGGTCGTTGCGTTTCCTTCCTGAAACTCGACGAACTCGCGGATGAATGGGCCGAGATGAGCGGCAGGTCGGGGTGAAAGTGCGCCTCGTCCCGAATGTCAAAAGAGAAACTTACCTTCTGCTGGCCGCGACGAGAAATAGACAGGCGCGCGGTCATTTCGCGGCTCTGCTTACTTTTGCTACTCTAGAAGTAAGATGGGCGGCGGATTTTACGATCCGTCGTTATCGTTTGCCCTCTACCGAACGCGGAAGACGAGTGGGGGGACTGCTCCGTTTAGCAAATTGTCGACTAATTCTGCTCCTTTTGCTATTTCTCCCTCCCTCCCCCCTCGCGTCGACCCCCCTCCCCTTTCCTTATCTTTCCTTACAACGACCGGAAAGGGCAGCAATGTAATGACCAGCGTTCACATTCGTAATGGTCGGGACTCGATCCTCCCCGTCGATTGTCTCGCACAATAGCGCGTGGGACCAGGGGGCGACAGCGAGGCGACAGCCCGCGCCAAGAGTCAAGTCGAACTGTTCCGAAAAGGCAATGAGGAGCTGTATTCAGTATCACCTT